TAAAATATCTGATACGCTCGCGCTTATTAAAAATTACTTGCTAAATTTTTTGTATTAGTGCATAAAAGAAAAAATGACATCCGACATGATAATATAGATAAAAATCCACTAATCCATCTTGAGAAATCCATTAAGATATAACGAGGACGTGCAATCTTCCAAGAATAAATTGCGGAATTTCCAGTGCAACAATAGGTAGTAATAGCATTACAAGTTGTTAGTCCATATGGAATGAATAAAACATGCGACTAATTGTTGTAGCATAAGGAGATATATATAACAAGAAACATTCCGGCATTATAAACGAATATATATATATATATGAGTACATATACTATATAAATATATACATATATAAATCAATCGTCATACAGCAGCTATAGCAGTTTATAAAAATAACTTTGTGATTGACTGCCCACTGGTCAATCTAAATATAAGTTATGCCCCAACCCCATATCATTCTTTCCTTTTACGATTTTAAAACAAATCGATTCACATATAGAAAAAAATCAACCGGCCCAATCCGCCGTGCAAATTTCAGAAAATTTGTGAAAACGTGGAAAGTCGAAACACTCACTAGTGATCAGATCGCCGACTCAGATAATTACGCGACAGTTCGACGCTCATCTCGGTGCTATTACCCTTGAACACTAAACAAACAATAATTAATGCCACGTGGGTGAATGTAATAAATGTAATTCCTTAAAATTGTCCCAGAAATGTCCATTATATTAAAGAATTAAAAAACACACTAATAACATAAAAGAAATAATGATTCCCCACAATAGAAGAAAACATTTGCTACGTAAAAACGATTTAAAAATTAAAGTTAAAGTAAATCCTGCCATTCATTCACTCAAAAATAGGGAAATAAAATCAAGCAAAATATAAAAAACACAAAAGCATAAAAAACCATTTTCCATTTGCAATACACCTTTATCACTGATCATGATCGTTTTAATTTCCTTCGAAGGCTCGTGACTTTTCAAAACAGAATAACATCGCATTAACAATCTGGAAAATACCTCCCAAACGCAGTAATAAAAGTGACGCACAGGCACATGATTAAGGAATGTACCACACCTATTTTACCACACCGCTTGCCTTCATAATTCTTCAAGCATTTTTAAAAAATAAAACCTTTCTTTCCATCAACGGTAAAGGACTTTCATTGTGAAAAATGAATTAAAACACTGGACAAAATGATGGAACGAAACAGATTTGTGTAATGTGTAATATTTATGTAAACTCTGCCCAACCAAATTACCAAATTCAATTCTACCGCTCTTTGCAATAACACCATGATGGGATGGCTTCATTCCACCTGTATAAAAAACAACTTACCGACGATTCAAAATACAAAGAACTTAAAAATATTCACATTTTAAACTTAGTCAATATTCCCTAACACTTGCTAAACATATGGAACGTTGCTTATCTTGTCATATATGTATGTGTTTACTACCAAAATGAAGAAAAAGATCTGAATTTAGGTTGAATATTTTCTGCATATAAACCATATTACAACTGCAACGCCAAAGCGACCAATATTTAAACCATATTTCGCAATAATAACTGTCAACACGGCCTCAATATTTCCCAATTTTCAAAAAATGATTTTTAAAAAGATTAGACGCAAACTGGATTACTCTATAAAATCTGCGTAAGAAACAGGAATACATCAGCAAAAAAATATAATAAAAAAATATATGTGTAAAAAAAACTTGCTGTAGCCACCATATCTATATTCGTCCGTTTCTCACAAAGAATTCACTTGTTGCTTACTGATCGAGACATTATGATTGCAAATGTCACAATAAATTGTGCTTTTCTAAAAACTCGTACCATTCTTGCAACCTGTATTGTTGTCTCAAAAGTACTGTTTTCCACAATGATTTTTAACTCATTTCCATTCACCCACAGCTTGTTAATTACAGTGGCGAATGATCTAATTTACCATCGTTGATCGCGCCTCTTGTGACAAACTCACGATGCTAATACCCAATGTCACAAAACTGATGAACTTAGTTCATGAGTATCCATAGTTTCCACTTCACCTGCAATAAATGTTAATACCGGCAAAAATAACATCCAACCTACATCTTTTATTGACTCGGTTTTTTTGTTGGATATTGGTACTCTTTGCAATAATCGCAAAAACTAAGTATCGCAAATTTCGATGCCATGCTGGCCTTCAATTAATCCTGCAATTTACCCTCTCCTTCCCATTTTATCAGTGTCTTCATAACTCGAACACCAAATGAGATCAAACGATATACCACATTCTAATTTGAAAACCTAATTCATTTTATTATCAAAAGCACCTATATTTTTGTCAAAATATAAAAGCAGTAAATTCACCAACTTTCGATTAAATGTGAAGCTATGGGATCCATCTGATATTTCAGACGAAAGTGTCGACTAAAATTCATTAACAAAATTTTAGACCGGAAAAGGAGTTTCTAAAACATTTTGATTTACTCTCCTTCCTCACTGCATACAGAATTAATGCACGAAATAAAACACCATAAGCGAATTTCATCACTCGTGTCATGCTGACCTTCAAATTAATTCCCCATCGATTTCATGATTGTAACTGTCTCTCATTAAAATTAATAAAAATTTAATAAATTTAAATTCAATAAATTTAAGTCAACAAAAACAAAAACACTAACTTATATTACAGAATCGATTTATATTTGAAATTATTTCAGAAAGAAATAGGTAAGTTTCGGTATATTTTATTGACTACAATTTGTTAAAAATTTCAAAAAAACTGGGCATGTATTGAGTTATTCCCTTTCCTCATCGTATGTTCCACTCATATTCTGAAAACTGCAAAGGAAACTTGTTTTATATTTATTATGCTGACTGACCTTCAACATATCCTGAATCAATCCACTTGTTTTTATACCCCAGCAACTCCACCACCATCACCTGAGAGTTGGTGTTATAATAAAATGTGTAAAAAAAGTTCATAATCAAAATCAATTTAATTACTAAATGAAATAGCTAACTTTCAATGGCAAATGTGGACCTTACCACTCTCCACTTGCCACTGCTTCAAACGGAAATAAATGGTCAGCTGTTAATATCACCTTATCTACAATTGCCAACAAATTTCTCAAGACTGTAAGGCACTTTGCTGTTGCAAGCAGAATAGAATTCACATTCGAAAAAAACTACGCATTGGGAATTTACTTGACTTCACCATTGGCAACAATATCGACGTTCAATTAATCCTGCAATCAATTACCCCACCCATTTTATCATAATATACTCATCAAAATTGAGGTGCCATTTGAGAACTAAAATCAATTCAAAAATACGACAAATACTCATTTCATAATTCTCGTATAAACAATAAAACGTTACCAAAAAATCAAAATCCGTTAATTACCAATTGATAACAATTAAAGAACCAATCTCCACTTGATGTTGCTTCAGACTCACTAATGTCATAAAAGTTAGCATTCTGCAACCTAGAACTCACAGTTAACCGCCATTAATCGAACAATTAGTCCAATCTTTACGCAAGTAAAACCTTGCAGATAGAAAAAACTGTCAAAAATCAAAATTATTCACGCATTTTGCTGGCAAAAATATAATGGCATGTTCATCGGATCTGCTCAATTCACATATTTTGTTTACGATAGACTGTTTCATTTCATCATTCGAATTGATAAAATATATTTATCGCTACCTCAAAAAAAGCTATTACTTTCAAATGAACAAAAAAATGGATAATGTAGTGTGTTCAAAGAACAATGTACAAATAATAAATTAAACGGTACTTGGTAAAAAACAAAAAAAAATCAAGCGATTAAACTCTAAGACAATAAAAGCACTAACACATTTTGAGTGGTGCCAACCATTAACTTAAAACAAAAAGAACTGATCAATTTCAAACCGATAGAGAATGCGATTGAAACGATTAAAAATCTTAAGAAACGAATGAAATTAGAGTGAAATTGCAACCTACAAGAAATAGCTCCACATTTTCTTGCGAGCAACCAATCAAAAAAAAGGTAAGCATTAAAGCAGCTACGGATTGACCTATTTGAGCAATATTCAATAGCCACAATTTACCCATTCATCTAAAATCTTTAAATCAATCAATAACTCAATCAATGAAAAAGAAACAGTACTTATAAATTATTGAAATTATCCGCGAAATTTTTCTTGAGACAACGAAATATCTGTAAAAAAAATGCCCAATCAACAATGATCGCAATTTACTTAAATAAGATAACTGTCGACGAATTTCATCTTTTAATTGTTGAAGTCACGGCTGTCGACGATATTCACTTCCTTTCTCATTTTCCTTCCTATATTTTATCACACGATGGCTAGAGTAACTTAGAATTTAAAAATTGCATTTTCATTGCATCTGCTTTTAAGGAATTTTCCCTCAGTATAAACTGCATTCTCCCTCAACTTCTCCTGAAATATTATTAGTTTGATAAAAATTCTATTCAAATCTTTTACATCAAAGCCATCATAATAATAAATCATCAATTAAAAACTTTTCAACAACAAATACGCAATTTCAATTGTTTTACTTTTATGTCTTTAGAATTTGCTTTCTTTACAAGTGCACTCCAACTAAACCGTTGCACACTTCTTTAATTCCCAACTATATGCCACGAATTACGTGTGCTTAAATAACGTTTTAAATGATGCGTTCAATTCCCTTCACCTAATACGAAACTTCACGAATCAACATTGATATCTTCCCTGTTCTACTCGGATTTTATCAACAATAGGCATGTCTTATAAAAACCCCTCAGTGCACTTGAAAGGAACCAACTGACAACGTAGTCGGTCCCACTTATACTTATCGAAAAAATTATCCAAATATTAAATGAGTGATTGTACATGAAACAGTAAAGTCCGCAAAAAACCTAGCACTTCGCCATTAACCGAAAACAACATCGACCTATATGAAAAATGGCCTAAGACGAAAAAAATGAGAAATTAAAACGGCACAAAATCCGGTTTCACAAATTACATGAAAACAAATCAAAAACAAAAAAATCATACCATCTGAGAAAGACAGCAACTGTACACCGAAGCTTTCTACTGACATTTCCGCATAGATGAATAGAAGGAACGACAATCGATATGTACAAATTAGAGACCATCCCAAACCAGCCAACAAAGTGCTCATCACGCTGCACACAACCGACCAATTCAACGTACCACAAACACCATTTAAAGACCCGACCCCCAGCGACTAAACTAATTCCAGTACTCCACAACCATCCCGAAACGCCATAACCAGTCCATCCGACACGACGCAATGAGACTGAGGATCGCATTGATTATTCTTTTATAGCCACTTTGACCAATAAGAATAAAGGAAAGGCGGAGTTTACCTAAAGATCACATTGGTTCGAGAAAATTGAAGCAGAGAAAATCTAAAATGAAATCTTAAAATAGCGTGCGAGTTTACGAGAACGAGATGTTAGAAAATTATCGATCGAGTAGTCTACGCCCCACACGCTATTTTCTCCTTTTTTGCTTCTTTTTCAAATGATATCATTGGACATCAATCGATTTCGTAAACATCATGTGACAGTTGCGAAATTATTTTTATTAGACAAAATTAAAGTTTATACTAGATGGGCTGATTTCTCCAATCATCTCTGGTGATAAGGTTGGTGAAATCGGTGTACAGATGGCGGATGGCAAAGAGATGGCATAAAGAAGCGGAAATAATCGCAAATTTAAAAATGGTAGAATAATAATTGGATAATTGACATAATTAAAGATTATTTACAATGAAAAAAACAGTTTTGACGATTCAAAAACGTGAGTTTTGCAGTGATCCACCTGTGCTTGCATTACGAAATGATTGCTTTGGGCAAAGCTGGCCTGGGAGTCAGTGGAATGAAGCAACCATAAACGGTGAGCGCCATTAGAAAAACGAAAATAACGAATAAGATAAAAAGAAGTTGAAAGTTCACAGAGGAAATGAAAACTGTACATGAAAACGAAATAAAAACAAGGATCCTCACTGTTTGCTGCTTGTATATGGGATGATAATTGAAGCAGTTAAAACTAAACTGCAAAATTGTTTCAGAAGATTTCACGAGCAACAGCAGGTCTAAGTACGGAAGATCGCGCTATCGAAACAGCTAATGACACTGCGCCTCCGTCTTCCAGGCCTCTGGTAGAGGACCCGAAGTTAAGGACTACCAGGACCCCCACAAATGGGATGAGAAAATTTTTTTTTAAAATTTCTGAAAATTCTGAAAAACAATAACTCTTTTACGGCAATTTTTTGAAGGCGGAATTACGGATAAATTTCAGCACTTTCCAGCTAAATGGACAGCAACGATTTCCATTTGTCAATAGAAGGAAATCAGAAAAGACGAAATTTAAGACAATGGTTCCTGGGTTAGTAACATAAATCGACATGAATCTGAGAAGAGAAAAAAACAATTGGCGCTGTCCATGAAAACCAAAAGTGCCAAATTTTCTCCGTATAAAATATTTAACGACTGAAGCAATTGGACTCTGCGTTGAACCGTCCTATTATGTAAAATGCCATTTCTGAATTATTAAATAAACAATTTTAGAAAATAACAGCTAGAAGATGACTATGATGACTATGATTTTGGAGCATATAACAAAATAAAATATATAAATAATATAATATAATAATAATATAATGCACAATACAATATAAATATAATAAAAATATAATATAAATATTAATATAAATATAATATAAATTATATAATATAAATATAAATTAACATAATATAAATATAAATATTATATTATATATTGGTATATTATATTATATATTATATAATATAATAGCATAATATAAACAATATAATATAAATATAATAATAATAATATAATAATAACATAAATATAAATATAATATACCAAAAGTGGTCAACGCTGAGCACTAATGGTTTAAAAAGAAAAAAACTTATTTTTTCAGTTTCTAACGACGTTGAGAATATTTTCTGGCTTTGTCTTCATACACGCGCACTCTTTCCTTAGAAAGAGAATTTTTCCCAGCGGATTGGCTTGATCCATTTTCAGACTTAATGGATATTTATCTTCTTCAAGATTTTTTTGCAGCATTCCATTAATTTTTCAATTCTTTTCGGTGAATGGAGGATTTTCTGACAAACCGAACGTAAAATATGCCTCTTTGCTAGAAAGTTCACTTTTCTGATTTTCATTTTCTTCTTTTATATAACCGAATGGTAAGTAGTGAGTGCTCATCGTTTCTGGTTATGCTCGTTTCACCAGTTTTTAGTAAGGTGGGGGGAACCTTTTGCCAAAGAACAGTTGGAGATAAAAATATGGCTGGGTTGCTGGTGGCATTTGGAAATGCTGAACGCTTTGACAAAATTAGATTTTTAAAGTGTTTAGAATAATTAGATTTTCAAAATTTTTTATTCTGAGATTAATATTAATTTAATATAATATTAATATTAATTTATTGTTAAATTGCTAGTATCAATATTTTTTGAATGTTTTATCTTAAAAAGCGAATTAACATTAAATTGTTGTTTAATTCTTAATATCAACGATTCATTTTGCTTTGATATTTAAACTTGATGATTAAAATAGTATTAATGATAATAATAAAAACTACGTTTTTTTCAATCTTTTCCATTGTTATGAAAGAGAGAAAATTTTGGAAAAATGTTGTTTTCAATCGAATTGCTCAGGATGTTAATATGACAAGCGGCGATTTCTCCGATAAATAAATTCGCTGCATTTCCTCGTTCTTTAACTGCTGTTCTTTTTTTCACCCGCTTCAAAATACACTACTCATTGCTTTAATTTATATCATTTCTAGAAATTGTTGGATCTGATATGGCTTCACCATTCCTAGCGTTTCCATACTTCGCTTTAGTAGCTTTATTCTATCGACAATCAGATGGATTTATTAAAAAATGCGATAATCTTTATGAATATTGGTAAGTTTGGAGATTCATTATGTTCTTCTCATTAGCCGGATAATTATGGATAATTCTGATAATATTTTCTCAAATATTTCCATAAATTTTTAGCTTTCGTTGTTTATAGATCGACATGAAATATATCTGCAACAACCTATTTTTTGAACTAAATTTAGATTTTTGAAATTTAGATTTTTATTTTCTATGGCGATCACGAGAATGTTATTTAAACATTTTCGTAATATAAACCTTATCAGTTATGATTTTTACTAATATATCCGATTTATTATTAAGAATAATTTCATTTATTCTAAAAGGAAGACATTGCCAGTCCTTATATTGAGCATCTTATGTTTTCTTGTCGGTGCTGGTCTTCGCGGTCGTGATCGAGGTTACACTGCACTCGGCCTACTTTTTGGAGCTATTGGGGATTATCTCATCGGTCGATCCAATGATGGTTTGATTGTAGGAGCAATTTTCTTTGGTATTGGCCATATTTTTTATTTGGTTAGTTTTCCTTTCATATATATTTTGAATATTTTTTTGATTATCCATACAGTTACTGATATTTTTTTCATTAAAAATCTTATATCAGATTTTTGTTCATTATTTTTATTTATTTCTGTGGAGAAGTACTTACTATCTGAATAAAATTTGGAAATTGGTATGAGCCTTTTTCCATTAAGCCCGAATATTCATATTATTTTCAAAAATTGGATAATTTGGCTGTGAAGCCAAGTTAATTCCAGTGGAAGCATATTTACCCTATGAACCTCTTGGGAATATCTTTTGTCATTTATTAATATAAGTATATAATAGCTATCGGCTTTCTTATCAACTTTGTTCGAAGAAAATATATTGCTACATTATGCACTTGTAAATTATATCAGAAATTACGAATATGGAATTCGTGTGACTATGAGACTTCGCAAACCTTCTTCGAATTTAATATTTAATTCCATAAATTCCTTTTCTTCAATTAATTTCAATTAATTAGTGTTGATCGATATTCTTAATCGAATAGTCCATTCAGCTTAGAAATAATGTTGATAAATATTTTATGGATTTGATAAAGCTTGCAGAATGATAAATGATAACTTAATATCAAAACGAGATTAATTCATTACATATTTCAGCTAACATTCGCTCATCGAGTTCGGAAGATCAGCGTGGTAGTAACAATTGTTGCAGCATCTTTCTACGTTATCATTGGCTGGTATGCTTTGTTGCCTCTAATCCTGCATCATACAATCGCTTCAATCTTGCTTATTTCATATTCGGTGTTATTGGCCACATGCTTCATTTTAAGTGGGTCACTATATGTCTATGGTGGCTACGTTGAATTACCCAAGCAGTTCGTAGGTTATTTAAATATACCACTTAACGGATATTTTTAATTTTTATCGAATTAAACTAACGAATTAACATTTATAATCCATTTTATAAAAAGGTGAAAATTCTTGCTATTGGATTTTCTTTCTATTGGAAGTTCTCTCCGCCAAATTACTATCGCTTAATATTGCATTCATAAATTAGCGACTACCTATTTCAAAACACTTTATAACAAGCTAAGGATTGCATTAAATGGTATAAGCGCAATATTTTTATAATTTGAGGAATTTAAACAAGTGCAAGAAATCCAAATAATAGAGACGTAGTAGAGATGGAGGAATTATGTATTGCCAAAGTTTTCGAGCGTCACTGCTCGTCCTCCATTTTTAGCGAGCGAGGAATCATTTAAAGAGAGGTGCGGAGAGCACTGGAGACCCATCTATATCGACTCTGACGAAATTGCCTTATTTTAATGGCCAATAGAGCTTAGCGAGAAATGGTGAATGCTAATTTAAATAAAAATCTGTCTAAAATCATGTGTCCCAATTATCTTAAGGCGCTTAAATAAAATATATCAGAAAATACAAAAAACAAATGATGAATAATTTATCCATTATTTTTTATAATAACTTCTATATTTTTCATTTCATTATTTCATTATTACTTATTACTTATTCATTATTAATATTATTATTTTCATTATTACGTATTTTGTTTTTTTTTTCTTTATTTTCATCATTATTTTTCTTTTGTCAAGAAAAGTTTTCTACGAATTCGTATTGCAGGTAGAGAAAAGTTATGAAAAATTTTCAGAATAATCTCCTACGATTTGTTGGGTTTATATTCTTCTATGCATCAGATTCCGCACTTATTATGTATCATGTTGGATACAAATTTCCATTTGCTGAAATCATAATTTTATTGACATATTTTGTGGCACAATACTTAATCGTTTGGGGAACTTGCAAAACACACAGATTAGCAATAATTTCCAAAAAAATGAAGTAATTAATCTCTTTTAACGGATTTTCTTAAGCCAATTTGTCAGAAGCTGTTTTATAAAAATTTAAATAATAGTTATTTTTTTTAGTTATGAATTAATATGGATTCATATATTCATTTTTTAAAGGTGAAATGAATACTATTATTTTTAAAATTGAATTCAAGTCAAAGGAATCGATGGAACTAATGGGCATAAACTAACTAAATAATGAAATGGTAAAAATTCACTATTTCTGGTTAAGACCAATCCATTAGCTATTATAATGTGGTGGAAATTTTTTACCAGGGCCACTTTGGGACATAGAACTACAAGTTAGTCCCTAGCTTTACCCAAATTTTTCAATGAAAAGTCTCCACTTGTTGCAGTTAAGATCCGAAGTACGCTTTGTGATAATCTGAACTACACCTCAGCTATTTTCTATTTTCTAAATATATTAAAATGATTAATTGAATGAATTTGAATATCTTCATTTTTATTCTATATTTATTTATGCTTAAAATTTTTGCTTTATAATTGACATATTTTATTGGTAAAAACTTTTATATGTGCCGTTATAGTTTAGTGATAAAATTTTTACACATAGTTTTAAATGATACAAGAGATCTGCAAAATAAATATTGAAATTTATAAAATAGTGAGCTATCTATAAGAAACTAGCTGGCTATTCAAGATATATATCTTCAGTTGGATGAGCGAAAGCCATGTATTCATCGTAAGATCGCTTGAAGGCTCTTCTGAAAATTTATTATAGTTAGAAGTGAAATTTATGTTGTTTGAAAATATAATTGCAACATAAATCAGAGATTTTACCTGTTTATTCTTCAATAAAACTGCTAACTACTGAAGCGTTATACCTCATTAACAGATGAATCTCTAATTTATTAATCTCCCAACATAAATATTGGAAATTTTAAGGCTTAATTTCAAAATTTCAACTGATAGTAATTTCTGGATTTAGGATTTAAAAGAGAAAAGAAACGCAAACCCAATTGCTTCAACGATAGGTTGTGTTGATTCGCTGGATAAGAAAACGTGACAAGCAAATCGTGGAAGAAGAGGATGCTTAGTAATGAACCCGAAATATCTTAAATGAAATATTCTTTAATGTTCTTCTTAATTAATCGAATCTGAGAACTGTTTGACGAATAAAATCTCTAATATGTGCAACATTGACAGTATATAAAATAATATAAAAGCAGTTAATCTTTTTGATTTTGAAAAAAACCACCTGAGCTGTTTTGGATGCGCGCCACAGAACGAAATGTTTTGCAAGCTGTAGAAAAAATCAAAACTTGGGCATTGAAAGATCTGAAACTTATAACTTTCGGATAGATAATCCAGATGACTTAAAATCCAAAAATAAAAAATGCAATCTTTTTAACTGAAGAAAAAAATTTTACAATTTGTAGAAGAAAAAACCAACATTTTTTTTTCGTTTGTCAATTAGATGAATTCCACGAAATGAGACTTCCATTAATACTGTTTGTGGCACTACAACTTCTTCTTTATTCTGATAGAGGTTTAAAACCTGCAATTTTTCAAGTATTTTGCAGGCATAAGTTTTAATTTCTTGCATATTCTTGCATTTGGAGATTCAGTTAATGAAATCTTTTGTTTATTATTCATTTAAGCAAAATATACATATTTATTGCCCACAAAACGAAAAATATTCGATTGTTCCCCTCGAGAATCAAAATTTAGACCATTCCAGAGATTAATAAATTTGTTATTAAAAATTCGATTTCTATTCTGCGCGAATTCCTAGCAAAAAATTTCTCACTGTGTGAATAGCCGAATAAGCGCAGCCAAAAATGGTGAGGGGTGAGATGTAGTTCAGATTATCATAAAACCACTTATTTACTGTTCCAGTGAACTCTGCTTCGGAAAATTCCATTAAATAATCAATTTAAATTCACGGCACTGGAAATTGGATTATTTGGGTTTTCTCAGGCTGAAAACATTTTTCTTCTACTGATTGCTATGCTTAATTGGATTGGAATCGAATAGTTGTTGATTTTTAAAATTTGCATAACAAAAATAATCAACTGTTTAATATCGAAATCCTCTACCTTATTTATCGCTTGTATTAATACATCATTTCCTTTATGATGGGCAACCTCTATCGAAGCCAACATTGTTAGATAAAATGTATCTCTTTCATTTTCTAAAGTGCCTGAAAAACTTTATCATGGATAAAAAAAAGTGAAAAAGAATTGCCAAATTTGGAAATTATTTAGATTGTTATTATTAATTAGATGAAAATATAATAAATATAAATTTAACTGACAATAATTAAATATTGTAATTTACATAATCATTTAAATAATCATTATTTTCATTAATAAAAATGGATAAAAACGTATCCATTCGAGAAAAAAAAGGGTGAAGGAGTTTAGTAAATGGGATCACTTTATTACATCAATGAGCAATGGAATATCTTAATATGAATTTTCGCCAGGTCATTTAGAGGTGGATCGTCATCATCGCCTTGATTTTTTAATGATACTTTGCAGGGTCATAGCAGCGATGATCAAAGCAATGAAGATACTTCACCATTCCTGTTCCTTGCAATTACCATTCCTTATAATTAATAGATTTCCGATTAAGAAAAATTGAGAAGTTGAAAGAATAAGAATTTTTGCAAGATAGATACTTAAAATTAGATAAAATTAGATATTAGATATAAAAATTTAATCTGCAAACAATTTTCCAGAATTTTAAATTTTCCAGAAAATAAATAATTCATAAATCTAAATTTTTAAATTCAAAATGCAATTAAACAGAAAAATTTACGATTCGCATTTGAAGGAAGAACACCAATAGATATTTCACCGACTAAATCAATTTCGCAAACATGTGCTAAAGGAAAAATACCATGTTGAGCTGTGCGCAAATTCGTCCCTAAATTAAAAAATGGACCATTAGCCTGGATGAAAAACACCTTTTAAAACTAAGAAAATTATGCCAAATGAGGATACGAAAAACCAAATCATTGGTTAGTGCAGGTTTAGTGCAAAATCTGACTCTTATAATTAATATAAGAGTAATAATATAATTAATTAAAAATTGGAAATTGGAAAGAAGACTTCACCATAGCACCAAAGATCCTCACATTCCCTTTCTACATGGACTGCATCGCCAATTTCGAGAAGGATTTCATCATCATGTCGAGGAACAAATGTCGAATGCACCCGATGTGTTGGATTCAAATGCTCGCATCCTATATAACAGCTTGAAACTCCAGATGAATCTTCATAATGATAATTTTGCATTCCTATAAATATATCATTCGCATCTATTTTTTCTACAAGAAACTAAATGATAAAAAAATTGGAGTGAATCCAGAAAAAAAATTAGCCTGGCACTAATCACTGTTTTTAGAGGAAATTATTTTTTTCACATGACATAACTAGAATGAGTTTTATTACAGAGAGTACCTGTTTTAACGATACGTTGGTCCACATTAAGGCCATCTTCTTCATAATAGCTATCTTCGAGCAGAGTCGATCTTCCAATAACTGAATCTGTACCAAAGCATATCCTTTAAAAAACTTTTTTTTAAAATATTTTTCAACCCTATTAATCAAATGAAAAATAAAGATTTATTGTCCTATAAAATAACATCTTTTCTTTCACTGGGGTCGCCACGCAGAAATATTCTCTGTTATACGCCATTAAATTTCAATCACTTGAAGTGATATTACTAAAAATGCCTTATTATCTATTCTAATCTTTTTAGCTCATCGTTGAATACTTTAAAAAAATTTATCGATATTCGGATCGATAAAAAAATATATTGTTAAAAACAATAAATTTAAGGAAAAAAAGGCAAAAACCTATGATCCTCATTACTATTTGACTGGTTGCCTAAATGTGCCATTCGTGACGCAGCTGGATAAATGCAGGTTGACACTGGTACTGGGCCCAAACTTGAGAGTAACGCAGCAGATGATGATTTCACTGGTAATGCAGGCAATCGCCTATGACCTGAGATATGAGTTGACGAGATAGGACTGAGCACCACTGCAAATAGCTTCGAACTAACTATAAGTAAGTAAGAAAAAATTAAATTCATAAAATAAAAAAGAATGTCCAAGAATGACTTTGAGACCTTTAAATTATAAATTTTGGATTAAATTAAATTGTAATAAATTGGTTATTCTTATATCATAATTCTATGGTAGTAGATTCCAAGACTAATCCATGGTAGGATTAAAATGTATTCGAATGCTGTTCGTTGTCGGGAAAAAATTTGCCATCAAAAGGAAATGCTCGAAACACATCTGCAGTTCTACCTTGAAGCGTTTTTGAACTATGGTCGTCAATAAAGTCAGCAAAAGCAGAAATGATGAGTGCTATTAATGAGCGCTAAAAGGCTTTTTTAATAGCAAAGATTTCAGAATCAAAGTACTACAAAATAGTTTTTCATCTGAACTATTAATTTTATAGAATTAAGATTAAAAATGAAAAAGAAGCACTGATATTTTATAACACCAAACGCCTATGGGGATAACCAAATAGAAAATGAAATAAAAGTGACATGAAAAGATGAGCTAAAATCGATAAAAGTTAAACAAATCAAATAAATTAGAAAATTAAATTAAATTAAGAAGCCGAGAAAATAATACGATGCCGAATAATGAGTGATAACTGTAACTCCTCAAAATAAAAAATAAATAAAAAGATGATAATCTCAATAATGAGTGATAACTGTAACTCCTCAAAATAAAAGGAATAATGAGTGATAACTGTAACTCCTCAAAATAAAAATAAAAACTGCACATAGTTATTATTGAGATTATCATCTCAAGTTCAGTCGATTCAAAACGACTCCTCGACAGCAGTGAACCTATCACTAACAAATGGGTATCGCAGCGAAATTCTCAGCATTTCTATTCCTTAACTGATCGCACTAATAGCTGTAGGGCACAGCCAAACCAGAAGTCACTTAAAATAAACCACTTATAAACAGTGAATGCTTTATGAATTTAATTATGAGTAGAAAAAAAGGGAAAGAAGAAAAGGATTTCTGATTTTTAGAAATCAAATAGATGTTTAAAATGAGTTTTTGATCAAGTTATTTGATCAAGTTTTTTTGAATATTAAGCATAATAATAAATTGCAATCCAATATTTGACTCGATTGAAGCAGAATTTACTATATTCGCGACACTCAAATTTTAACATCTTTCTTCAATTTAATTTTTATTTTCGAAAATTCCTAAAAAGATTGTTCGAGGAGTCCGTACAGTCCGATAAAAAAGCCTAATGCGCGTTAATGAAGTATATTCACTAACAAGATGTTACTTTGGTAAAATATGATACGTAAAATTTGTTGGAGGATCATTCTTCTCATAATAGCATCCACCAATGTTAATGTAGTCGGTTTCATTATTATGAAGCGATCGATCATTTAGCCAGAGAGTTTTTTAGATAAAGAGATAGATTCTCAGTAGTATCAAAAATTGCGGTGGAATATGATTATTTTTGGAATTTATTTAACAAGCTCGAGAAAAAGGACTAAAACGAATGAATGAAAGAGTGCCAAGAGGGATTAATGAGCTAGCTAAATGATCGATTTTCTTCGTTTTTGGCTGTTTTATTCTTTGGCCGTTTTGGCTATTATATAAATATGAAAAAGATCAGTGATAAATAGTACTGGATCCAAGGATCTAAATTTAGGAACAAATGTACCAGAAATCTGTAAAAATTCCCACCAAGATTTAAATGCATGAAAAAAATCACTGGGCCGGTGAAAAAAATTTTTTTTCTGGATTATTGGAATTCCGTTTTTTGAAGATTCATATAAGGTTAATGAAAATGTTTGGTTTTTTGTGAGAAGGTGAGGAATTTCAAGGATTAAAGGATATCTGGAGAACATGATCGAACCCGGACACTTGGAAAAGTCGACAATAGATCCATAACAACAATATTATTTTAAATAAAAAAAGAAAGGAAATTTTATAACATTTCAGGACGCTCTTGATATTTCGAAGCCCATTAAACTTAATGAATTGAATGCTGCGAATTATTTTCTGAAGAATCATTCCAGACAACTTTTAACGGAAAATTTTGATAATTTCATTATTTCAGTAAATTGATTGAATCAAATTTCCTTACATAGGTATACACTTTTATGTTTAGCATAGTTGGAGAAAAAAATAATTTCGCATATTTTTCAGCAATATATAATATATAACATCGTTCAGTTACTTCATTCACTAATATTAACAATTATTGGTATCTATCAAAATCCTAAGGCAAGGTAGCTGAAGATTATCAAATTGTGGATGAGAAAAGCAGCAAATTGTTGGCAAATGAAGAATGAAAAAATTATTGGCTTTGTTTTTCAACTCATTAGCATCCAGCCAAGGACGAGAAATGAGAAGTGTGAAAAACTTAAAAAGCTGCTTGCTTGCTGACGGCGAATAAATACGGTGATGACAAAAAGAAATATAGTTACCTTTCAGTTATCTTTGTAGTTAAAGTGAGGAATTAATATGGATTTAAAGAGAATACAGATTAAAGAATGTTGAATAGAAACAAGCCTCTTTCGCGAAGCATTAAAGGTAACTGAAAATTAGCTTCTCATCTATATCAATGAAAAGAATAATAGCTATTAAGCTGCTTTTCATCTGATTGCTTTTGGACTTAAGGGAAAAAAAGAGGATGAATCCAGAAAAGAAAGCAAAATCTGTTCCAATATGCCCGTAAAATAATTACAAAGGCTTGCTATTTGTATCATTTCTTGCCGACAAAATAATATTTTAGTTTAAGAGAAATTATTGGGTCACTTATTGACCCAATAATTCGTTTGCCAATAAATGTTAAAAATAGTAATCGAGAGAAGTTAAAATTGATTTTCCATACAATAAAATGAACTTTTATTAATTTGGCTATTTGATAAAATTTTTGTTCAGTGACAGAATCATGAAGTTTAAATCTGAACCTAATTTAAAATTCTGAAAACAAATAAGTGAAATAGATTTAAAATAAAATTAATAAAAAAAATTAAACTAATTAAAAATAATTAAAAACCATCCCATCCGATTATATATGATACAGTTATTTCAAATTGTACTATGTTATATTATTCTGTAATTTCCTCTTTAAATTGTTAATTTTTAAAATAATTAAAATATAATTAAATTATTTAAAAATAATTAAATTGAAGTGATTAGGAAATTTTAAAAAATCATAAGAGTCTAATCTAAATTAATATCTAATACATGACGTGGTTAGTATAATAGCTAGGTTAGCATAGCTGACCGTTAGTACGACTGGGAATTTTTGCCAAGGAATCTCTTAAAATCTTTCGCTGGTCGTCTACGACAGATTTTTTAATCACAGGTTTACTTATGTTAGAGAATCTGTGGTGCTCGAGGCAGATCGAAGCTATCATACCAGTCACCCACCCCAGATCTATTTCTTATATGTCCTTAATATTTTGCACTTTTATAAATGATTAGTTCTCAGAATTTATTTCACTTTTGACACTCATTCAAAACCCAAAACTTCGATGAAAATTTGCCCGAACAAAAGCTAATGAATTTTAAATCCTTCTTCACTGAGGCTAGTGAAAGGCTAATGCCAATTGTTCTTTAGACAAAATGTCCCTAATTTTTATAGAATATTTAATTAAACATTTTATTTTATTCCATTGTTTTTTGTTTTTTCATTTTTTTCACTTATTAGCAAAACCTCGTTTATGGGTAATTTATGTTTGCATATATTTTTACAAATCTTTCTAAGAATTATTTTCTTTTTTCTGAATTTTACTATTAAATATGAGCTTTATCTCAAATAAATTTATCATTCTCAGCGTTAAAAAAAGTAAAAAATATACCAATTTAATAAAACATCAATCTTGAAGAAGTATGGAATAGTTTTAATCTTTCTCCTTCTTTTTCTAAATTTATTGAATATTAAATTTTCTAAATTTAATATTAGGCCTGCTTGGCCTAATTCCGCTGGCTATAAAAGTAAGCTGCACCTGATAGTTCTGATCAGAAAAAATAGAATGTAATATGAGCAAAATTCCATGGAATTTCATGGAAACTCTCTTCTGCAGAATGATAAAAAATCTTAGTAAATTACCTGAAATAAAGGTATGGAACAATGATGATTATATTCTGCTTCTGTTTACCTTTAAATTAATAAGCAGACTTTTAGAGAAATTTCTTCCAATAAAATTTACAACTATTAAGAATTCTCGCTATAATAATGACATTAACGCAAATCAAAATTAGCCGTCAGTAAAGGCTTTCAATTAAAAGTGTGAGATGACCTGAGTGGTCTGTTTCTTAAAATTGGATTTAGAAGACTCGATTTATGCCCCTTGAGCACATGTTATTTAAAATGAAATCCAGGTGATGCTAAGGACTCACATGTATTTTCATTCGTAAATGATTTTCTAGCAAGAGAAGATTGAAAATGACAAGAAGAAAACTATGGTAAGTAATCAAATCCGAATCAAACCAAATGGATATAAAATAGGAAGAAAACTTTCCAGTATATCTTTGATATCTTTAATAGTAATTAATAATTCCTTTAGGTTTAGGACATTGCTTTAACAAAAGTTAAAGGGTTTGATGTATTCTCTTGATAAGAATAAACTTATTGTTAAAAGTGAAATCCTGACGGAGCTAAAAATCCACGTGTGTTTCTTTTTACCTTTTCTTACCTTTTTTACTTAAGTTAGCCAAAGAAGTAGTGACTGCCGCCAATTATAAAAAGAATGTTTTAGATTGATAAAATGAAAAAACTGAGGAATTCCTTACTCTCACAAATTAAATTTTTTTTCGTCAGAACAAAAAAAATTTCTCAGAAAAATTTTTGAGATGGCTGCATTTGATTCAAGGAAAAGAAATTTGATTCAAGGAAGAGATAAATAAGAATGGTTATCACATTGTTTTATTATATTTATTTTCATGATATTGTATTGTATTTTATTTATAGTCATTTTCATTTATATACTTATGCTTCTTTTCATTAGCCACAGCTTAGCCACTGAGCTTAACATCTAATATCACAGCGCAATTTTATTTTTCATAACTTCGAAAAAAACTTATAGATAACTCATAAAATTTCCTTTCCTTATAAGAATTGATTAATTCGACTTTGTCCGATGTGTCAAAATAAGCAGTGTTGAGTTTTGTTGGTACTAGGATCGAAGGCAGCCTGAGAATCGATTAAACTAGATCGATTAAAGCAGAAAAATGACAAGAAGAAAACTATAATGAGAGTGATGCACTCTCATCCATATTCAAGAACCCATATTCAAAGAGTTCCATAAGAAAAAAACCCTTAATATTTGTTGAGAATAAAAAAAAGAATAAAATAAGTAAAAGACAGACAATTTTCTGGCGGCGAAATAGTAGAACTAAAACTATAATGGTGCAGCGAGCTATCACGCGATGACTGAAGTTGATCTGGCAATCTGAAAGATAATTAGCCTTCTTAATTTATTTACCATCGAGAACGTACGAAATGTAAAAAAATCATCTTCCGATTCCAGAAAAATTACCTGTATTCAATTTGATTTGGACTGGAGACCAAATCGACTACTATAGATTTTGGCGAAATATTTCTATTTGGATCGTTTGTAATAATTGGTTTCGTTTCAGACAACTGAGGTTGAACAAGCTGAATTGGTCGTGAAATATATCTCTTTTCCTCTGCATTCACTATCTTTTTATTACAATAATCCGACGACCGACTATCCAAATTGTATAATAATCCATTCTCTCCCTTAGCTTCAATTATCCTGCAAATTAGCAATTTGAAAAATTTTGACCTATATTAGTACGTTATAAAAAATTTTTAGTTCATATAATAATAATAATAGATAGCAAAGTTAATTTTTATCGTTTGAAAAATTCAAAAAAAGTTTCGATTTTAGGCCCGCCAAGGTGAGAGAATCGAATCCATGATAGCTGATCACTAAGTCGACCAAATTTATATAAATTTGTTCGAATTTTTATTGATATGTTCAAAATTAGAAATAAGATTTTCTTTCTTTTTTTGCTGCCGCTGAATGATTCGTTGACATTATTTATGTTGATATTAAAATTACTCCAATTATAATCTACAGCAGCTTCTCTGGATAAAAACCGTAAAATTTGCAATAATGCACAGTATTTTTCGGAAGAAACGAGATAGCCAAATGGATAGTGGAGCTGTTGAGAAATGAAAAGTAAAAATTCGACAGAAGTAAGCCTTAAAAATCATTAAAACGATGTTTGCTGGCGACCCACCTGTATTTCTATCGCCATCTATGCTATTCTATCTATTGACTCTTTTACAAAAATTTCGTAATAACAACCGGCGAAGCTGGTCAAGCTGGAGAAATGATGAGAGAAATGATTTTTCGGTTGCATGGACACTATCGCC